AGTCATCTTTATACTGCTGTCACCTGTAAACTCAGGCATGACTAACAGATGACAGAAGTCACACTAAAGAGAAGTCCACAAGCTAGCAGCAGCAGTTCTGACTAAAAGCATTTAGAATTTTGTATATTTAAAATTAACATAACCTAAGTTTTTCCTCTTTGAAAAATGTCTGTACTTTGCCCAGTGACATTTGTATTTCTGGTCACTTTTAACTACTTAATTTTCAGCAAGTGGCAGAATGAGTCCGGGAGGTTAACAGAGCAGAGGGAGAGATAAAGCACTGTGACTTCCTTGAAGGATTTATTAGGAATGAGATCCAAAGAGATGATTGTAGGGAGAGCGCATCACATTAATTCTAGCTCCGTCTTGCCTAAAAAAAAGGTAAAAGGAACACAGAGCACTGCTAAGCACCTTAAGATTTTTGATTAAAAACATCTGTGTTTTAGACATGTGCCTTACACATAACTGCTATGAACCTGAATATGATATCTGGAATTCTATTTCAATTTGTTGACACAGTTTTCATGAAGAGGCCTTTTTATTCCTATACTTAATAGCAGGCATGTGGGAAGGAATCAGAAGAATGAGATCTCTACCTATTTGAGGCTCACTGCACAAACTAGAACCATGTACCAGTTTTTATTATATTAAAACAGTGTCAAAATCTGCCACACAATCTTCCTCTGATGTTTTGCTACTGTTACATTCTCATTCACTTTCTGAACAGCAGCAGTTCAGTTCCTCTTTAGTACCTAATGTGCATGGGCAGCCCTCAGCAGCCTATGTGATACTCAGGAAGCAAAGACAATCTGCAACAAAAACTGTAACAACCCAAAACCAGAAGATAGTTTGTATGTTTGTAACGCATTGCTAAAGCCATGCTGTGCATTTCCCTTTAAGTTTTTCAGATTTTCAAGTGGGAAGAGGCTCCTTGGGACATCTAAAGCAGCGGAAAGAAGGTTGAAAAGCTAGAAGCAAGAACAGAAGGGACAGGAACATAACAGGTGACAAAGCACCAGGTATGCTTCAGGTATGCTGTGGAGTTGTGTGTGACATTATGCCTTCAGTCATTCCAAACATCAGAGCATTTTATAATTTATATTTTTTTTCCTCGATATATGCTATTATTTTTTAAGATTATTTTTCCAAGTGTGACTAGTGGAATTCTAGTCATCTTATTAAATAAACTCAAACTCCATACAGTTCATTGTAGCAAATATCTCTAAAATATGAGAAGTGGCATTAAGCACAGGTTTAAACAGGTGCAGGCTTAAAATACTACCAGATCATTTCAAAGGTGAACAATGGAAAGAATGATTTCAACTTACTTGCTCCATCTCTGTTTCAAGGGACTCCATTTTTTCTTTCAACCTGCAGTTCTCAGACTCCGCACTGCTCAGTGCCAGTCTCACAGAGCTACAATCTGCTTCTGCTTGGTGGCATTTTGCTTCCCAACTTTCTCCTTGTTCACGGGCTTTGTGATAATTCGCCAAAAGCTCGCAGTTCTCTCTCTCCTAACACATAAAGCTTGTTTGTTTAACAATTTACAGTAAGCTTCACAAAATAGGGTTATCTATAGATCTGCAGGTATGACATGGTATTGGATGTTCTCTTTCCACTGAAAACTGCCATTTAGCCAAAACATCGACAGACTTCTGAAGAACTAGTTTGTTCAAGATGGCCACATTTTAATGCTCAAAAGACATATGTTAAAAATGGCTATATTCACATTACAAATACAGGAATAGCAATATATCGCAGAAATATTTTTTTTTACTATTAATCCCATATGGTAATAAAGACAAAGAGTTCCAAGTCTCTGTATTATTCACTGTCTGAATTTTTAAGTTTAATAAACACACACACACGGGGGGTGTGTGTGTGTGTGTGTGTGTGTGTGTGTATGAAAAACCACAATGAAATATACTTCATTACTTGTGTACTGCAAAAACAGCTAAGCAAATGTGTTCAAACTAATAAAAACATATTAGTAGAATGCAAATAAGTTTCGGCTAGGAAGCAAATTCTTCCATGGAAATATGGTTAAAATTTCATTTTTACTTAAAACAACAGCTTTTATTAACAGGTTTAATCCACTCACTTTAGCCTTCAGTATGCCCTTCAGCCTGACAGTATCTGTGTTTGAATCTCGGGCTTTCACCTTCATATCATCAAGCTCATTTTGGCACTTCGCTAGTTTTTTATGTAGTACCTATAAAGAAGGATTTGTTTCATAAGGTTTGCACCTTTACAAAACAATTACAATTAGTGCATATCTAACACCTATGGCTTTATTAACTCTTTATTTAAAGGCTACATAAAATCTAAACCATGTACATTTTTATAAACAAAATTTTGCTTTTCTAAAAAGTATTTTGTTTCTTTGACTTACAAATAATGGTAAATCTTAAAAAGAAGAAAAATGTCAATAGAAGAATGCAGCAGTTAAGAAGAAAATTACAGATGGTTTATTTAGCAGCTAGATGGTCATAACAAAATAGCCTGCCCCATTTAAGGAGCAGGGCTCAGAGTGAGCTCCCTCTTTTTTTACATGTTACAGTCTCTTAAAAGCCCACATTGGAAAAAGCAGGAGGGCTAAAAAATTGAATTAACTAATTAAGTGGGTTTCTCCTAATCAGGAGAAATAAACCCACAAGTATTAGGTGAATGCACACAGAATTTCTGGCAACTATTGCTTGAGAAATAGAACAGAACAAAGAAAAAAACTGCAGAAAGGATGTCTTGAAGGAAGAGTTTCTGAGCAGCGCCGTTCCTTACAAAATTACTAGAACATTCAGCTGCAAGAACCAGGGAAGGGGGCGGGGGAACACTGTGTGTGGAGAGGGCTATGGAGAAACCCCTACTCCTGCTGTGAAAAGGCTGTGAGTTGCTCAGAAAGGTGCTCTGGAAATCTGGGAACTTTCCCAGGAAGCTCAAGTGAAGAAATCAGAACGATACTTTAAATGCTTTGAGCATCACCTGAATTAATGGAAGAACCTAGAGGAACCAATGCATATTATAGAGGCAAGCCTACTAAAAAGTAATTGATCCTGTGAGGCTAAGACTTTTTGTTTCTAACTGCTTCTACCAGCATCCAGGCATAGCAAAGAAAACCATGAAGCTTTCAAAAGTAGCTAGAAGCAACAGGAGGGCCCACCAATTTATGCACTACTTGAAAAATAAATAATTTTCCTTCTTAGTCAAGGGTTCTCTGTACAAATATACCTGATTTTCGTGCTTAATATTAGAAAGATGCTCTTGTAACCTGTCAGTCTCCTGAGCTAATGATTCTCTGTTCTTGTTAGTCTGTGCAAGTTCTTTGTTGGTTTCTTGTAGCTGTTGATGCAAACTGGTGATATCTTTCTCACAGATGCAGAGTGCTTCAGCAGATTTTCTATGCAGCCAATAAAAAAAATCTTCAGGTATGACAATACTGCCCAACCTAATACAAATGATAGCTTTTCCAGTGGTTAAGTTTGCAAGTCATGAAACAAAGCTGTAATGTTTTAATATTTAATAGAGTAAAAAAAAAATATTTATACATTAGCATATCCTATGATTAAATTTTTGACTTAATGTTATAAATTAATCAAAATTTGATAATGATGTTGACATTTCATCCTTACTTTGTGGAACGCTCCAACTCAGAAATCAGAATCTTGAAATCTGAAATTATTTTCTCCTTGAAAAGAAATACAAAATTAAAATAAACCTCTCGCCACTCCTCAGTATAAATGGAAAAAAAAACCAGATTATTTATATTTCCTTTTATTCAGCTAGCTGATTAATTTAACTATTTAACGCAAAATGAATTGTGGTTTTCCAAGTTTCATCATGTACTGTTTAGAGCTGATAACTCTGATAAACTAATTTGGCAAAAAAGGAACAAATATTATTATCTTCTGCAGAATATAATAATTTTAATTACACTTTTTAATCCTTTGTGGTTCTAAAGGTAGTATTTGGCTCACACTCCTAAAACTAAACGATGTCTTCTGCCTATTAGATAAGTTATCACTGCTTTTCTGCAATGAATAAACTACCAGAGTCTGGTAGTTTGTAACTGATAAAACCAGAATTCCATCACAAAGTATATTACTTTACTCCCTTGTCTTTGGATACAGATATTAAAAGAAGCACAGATAGGCTAAGGAAATGTCTTCCACTGGAGACACAAGAGAGGTGAGAGACAGCCATCTCTTCTCTAAAATGGACACCATTTTACAATTTATAGTTTTAAAAATAGAAAGTCAGTGCTTATGGCAAGATGATTTTAGCCTGTCCTGCAATATCTTTTCTTTAAGATTTTGTTAAAAATCAACGCAAATTCTTGAGTTAACAATCACAACAGTTAAAAACTACCTTCTTTAGTTTATCCTAAATCAATATCCAGGTGACCTAAGCTGAAGTGAAAAATAATGTTTCAGAACTAAGCAGCTTTATTATATATTTTGAAATCACACTGTGCAATATACCTTAAGTGAAAAGAATGTAATTCAGATGCTTCTCCAATGACAACAAAGGCAATATTATTTAGCACCCTGCATCTTTAACATCAGTGGACCCCAAGGAAGAATTTAGGCTAAATGTTACGACAAACAAAATATTTGATTGACTAATTTACTCTTCTCCACTTCAGGAAACTACTTAAAGTCTCCTCTCTTGATAAGTATAAACCATACAAAACACCAAACATGAGATGACCGACACTGCTCAAACATACTGCTCTTGAAATCAACATGAGCTTTATCATTGCCTTGAAACTGGAGCAGAACTAGGTCAGCACTGAGCACTGTTGTAGATAACAATGTAAGGCAGGTGTGATGACACAACAGATCCTTCCTCTGTTTACCTTCTATGACTATTTACATGTTAGAACATACTTTAATTGCCAGGCTTTCCTCAAAGACAGCAATCTTCTCTTTTCCTTCTTCCACAGAGTCTTGCAAAGATGCCTTCTCTTTATCAAGTTGTGCAATTGTTTCTTTCAAAGCACAGATCTCCTCTTGTTGTACAAGACTTTGTCTTGAAAAGTTATCTAGACACAATCAGAAAGGTCTCATTTTTATTAATTCAACCCATTTGAAGTAAAAATTCTTTTGATACACTTCTAAAGCATAACAGAACATGGCAAAAGCTCCCCTTCAAGAAAACATTGAAGCGTGTACCTTTTTGAAATATATAAATAATCCAACTGAAATTTATAGAACTGCATTTTTCTTTAGATCAAGACCTGAAATTACTTGGCTCAAACCAAATCTATCTTTAAACAGCAAATGTTTAGATAATTAAAAACAACTTTCTCAGGTATTATAACAATAAAGGCTTAAACAGAATTACTATAGACAGAAGCAATATGTAGACTACAACATGTAATGACTGATGAAGTAAAAGAGACTGATCCTGATATTAGCCATTTTTTTTCTGAAACAATTTTTTAATTTAAATAACCTTTATGTGAAAGTAAGAGTAATGCAATTATAAAATTCAACACCACTTAAAAATTGGAAAGATGATAATGATAAAAGCAATCTACTCATTACAAAAATCAAATTCTAAAAGATGTCTGTCTCTATCTTCATTCAGCTAATAAAGTGTTACACGCTACACTTACCTTTAAATGGTCAGAGATCCTTATGTGATCTACATAGATTGCATTCGCAGAGGAGAGCCACAGAAACTCTTCTTACAGTGAACCTTACATCTCATAAAAAACACGCAGGCTGCAAATTACTCTTTAAATATCAGTGTACTTGGGCTTATTGAATAATACTTATTAACCACTTCCAGGAGATAAAACATCCAAAGTAAAATGATCTATAGCTCAGTCCTTCAGGGACATCATCGCATATCTTCCATGCTGTTTTTTCCACAGTATCTTTCCTTATTTCAAAACACAAGATGAAAGGTGCTCAAATTCCCACCTCGTATTTTTGGATGCATGGCTCTGGAACCCGCTAAGACAGTGCTCAAACCTGGCTCTAAAGAAAACTCTGATGGAGCAGCTAATCCTGGAAAGCATTTCCAGGCACCTTAAGGACAAGAAAATAATCAGTAGTAGTCAGCATGACTTCACGCAGGGGAAGTCATGCTTGACCAACTTGACAAACTTCTACAATGAAATGACTGGCCTGGTAGATGAAGGGAGAATGGGGATGTTGTCTACCTTGAGTTCAATAAGGCCTTTGACACTCCCATAAGATGCTCATAGATGAGCCGTTGACATATGGGCTGGATGAACAGACAGCGAGGTGGACTGAAAACTGTCCAAACAGCCAAGCCCAGAGGGTGGTGATCAGTGACACCAAGTCTAGTTGGAGGCTGGTAACTAGTGGTGTGCCCAGGGGTTAATACTGGGTCCAGTTCTGTTTTACATCTTCATTGATGATCTGGATGATGGGGCAGAGTGTAGCATCAGGAATTTTGCTGATGACATAACACTGGGAAGAGTGGCTGATACACCAGAGGGTCATCCTGCCATCCAGAGGGACCTGGACAGGCTGGAGAAATGGGCTGACAGGAACCTCCTGAAGTTCCACAAAGGGAAATGCGAAGTCCTGCACCTGGGGACGAACAACCCCATGCACCAGTACACACTGGGGGCCACTCAGCTGGAAAGCAGCTTGGCAGGAAAGCTGGGGGTCCTGGTGGACACCATATTGAACATCAGCCACCAATGTGCCCTTGCTGCAAAGAAGGTGAATGGTATCGTGGGCTCCATTAGGGAAAGTATTGCCAGCTGGCTGAGGGAGGTGATCCTTCCCCTCAGCTCTGATGAGACACATCTGGAGTGCTGGGTCCAGTTCTGGGCTCCCCAATACAAGAGCGACACGGTCATACTGGAGAGAGTCCAGCAAAGGGCCATGAGGATGACTGAGGGACTGCAGCATCTGTCCTGTGAGGAAAAGCTGAGAAAGCTGTGCCTGTGCAGCCTGGAGAAGAGAAGGCTCAGGGCAGGATCTTATCAATGTATATAAATACCTGAAGGGAGGGTACAAAAAGGACAGAGCCAGGCTCTTTTCAGTGGTGCCCAGTGATAGGACCAGAGGCAATGAACACAACCTGAAACACAGGAGGTTCCCTCTGAACATCAGAGAACTTTTTTTTACTGTGAGAGTGAACGAGCACTGGAACATGTTGCCCAGAGAGGTTATAGACTTTCCTTCCTTGGAGATATTCAAAAGACATCTAGACACGGTCCTGGGCAAGTGGCTGTAGGTGGCCCTGCTTGAGAAGGGAGGTCAGACAAGATGACCTCCAGAAGTGCCATTCTGTGATTCCAAGCAAGGGTGTGTTATCACCATTTTACAGAGAAGGAACGGAGGTACAAAGATCAATTGAAAACACTATCCCATTATTTTGAATGTGCAAACTGTGACTTAAATTTTCAGGATAGAAAGTATTACATGTTCAAAAAAAAAAACCAAACCAAAACCACAACCATGGATTGCTGCCACAGCTGTGAGTGCTCAACATTTCTGAACATTAATAACCAAAGTCTCAAATCAGGCACTCTGAAAATAGGTCATATGTATACTTAGTGAGGAATTCTGAAAAGTTTGGTTGTGCATCACCCCAAAATTCTAATGTACAGACAGCAACAGTATAAAATACTGCATAACAATATTTAACAGTTTAAATAGCATGTGCCTTCTCTTTCTGCAATTACCTGCTTTATTCACTATATTTTCTGCTAAGACGACCTGACAGACAAGCTTGCTTCACTAGACAACACTGACTGACTCCCTACAAAACTCTGAAAAAGTTGGCACAAAGGCTCCTATAGAAAAACACCACATGGCAGCGTAATTAAAAACAATACCATAAATAGGAAAAAAAACAGCCTGGGGTTTATTTATTAAGTAGTACAGACAACCTTAAGACTGGCATTCCCAACTTCTCGGTGTTTGTCTCTGAAATAAGTTACTTCACTTGTGTGAAAAACAAAAAGTACAATTTGGATTCCCATCATGTGTCACATGACATAGAAGATGAACCATTGGGGGACCATACTGCTGTTCTCTCTGCGGACAAGCACTGGAAAGAGACACTTTGCCAAATGTACATTATTTTGCTGACAAGAGAAGGCAACACAAGACTTGGAAATCCTTAGTTCCATTCCAGACTCCAGAAAAGGAAAAGGTTCTCTAGTGGACACACAC